AGAGCGTCGGCCTGCGGTCCGGAGAGACCCGGGTTCGGTTCCCGCTAAGGGCACGTACCTCGGTTGCAGTTTGTCCCCGGCCCTGGTTGGTCGTGCGGGTGGCAGCCACTCGATGTGTCCCTTCACGTCGATGTTTCTCTCTCTCTCTCCCTTCCTCTCTCTCCCTCCCACTCTATCTGTACAAAAAGTGGAAAAATGTCCTCGGGTGAGGATAAAAAAAAAAAAAAAAGTAATTTTTGGGGTCAGTAATCCATATGGTTGATGATGCGCAATTCAAAGATGTTCCAGAACGTGCAATAATTTTCCCTCCCAACAGGCCCCCGCCTCTATGAGCTTGATTTTGTTGTTTCCTTCAGTTGCAAAACACACACATACTTCTGTACCTTTTGTTGCCCTCAGTAAATCCAGGCGGAAATCCCATGTCAGGAAATAAAAAGCTTTTTTGTGTGGTTTCACAGTAGTGTGGATGGGCCCTAATTTATTTACTTAGCCTCCCCCCTTGGGCTTTAAAATTCTTTAGATCTGAGCTATTCTTACTGGGAAACAAAAGATAGGAATGATTTTTGTGGGCAAATTTTAATGGGGTGTTCTGTGTATACTTTTTTGAGTCTTTTTTTTTTTTTAATCCTCATTCAAGGATACTCTTCGATTTATCCTCAGAGCGGGAGGGGGGGGGGGACATTGACGCAAGAGAGACACATCGACTGGTTGCTTCCCACATGACCCTGACCAGAGCCAGGGACCAACTGCAACCGATGTATGTGCCCTTGGCTGGAATTGAACCTGCAACTCATCGGTCTGTGGGCCAACACTCTAAACGCTGAGCCAAACCAGCCAGGGCCTTTCCTGAGTCTTTTAAAATAAGTTTTTTATTGATTGATTTTTAGAGAGAGAAAGAAACACTGATTTGTTTTTCTACTTATTTATGCATTCATTGGTTTCTTCTTGTATGTGCCCTGACCAGGGATTGAACCCACAACCTTGGCATATCGAATGACACTAACCAACTGAACTACCTGGCCAAGGCCTCTGTACTTTCCTTAGTCTTCATGAGCATGTCCTTCTGGACTTATTTATACTTATGACCTTTTCTTTAAATCCTCACCTAAGAATATTTTTCCATTTATCTTCAGATAGAGTGGGAAGGAGGGAGAGAGAGAGAAACATCAATGTGAGAGGGACACATTGACTGGTTGCCTCCTGCACGACCCTGACCAGGGTTGAGGACAAACCACAACTGAGGTACGTGCCCTTGACGGAATCGAACCCAAGGCTCGTTAGTCCGAGGCTGACACTCTAACATCTGAGCCAAACTGGCCAGGGCAATATACTTACGACTTTTTTAAAAAAAAATTGTTATTTATTTATTTATTTTTATTTTATTTTATTATTATTTTTTTTTAATCCTCACCCGAGGACATTTTCCCATTTTTTTGTTCAGGTAGAGTGGGAGGGAGAGAGAGGAACAGAGAGAGAGAGAGAAACATCGATGTGAAAGGAACACATCGGGTGGCTGCCACCCGCACGACCGACCAGGGCCGGGGACAAACTGCAACCGAGATACGCGCCCTTAGCGGGAACCGAACCCGGGTCTCTCAGGACCGCAGGTCAATGCTCTAACCGCTGAGCCAAACCGGCCAGGGCTATTTATTTTTTATTAATTTTTCCCTTTATTGATTTTAGAGAGAGAGGAAGGAAGAGAGAAAGAGAGATAGAAACATTGATGAGAGAGAACATCTATTGGCCGCCTCCTGCATGTCCCCCACTGGGGATTTGGCCCACAACCTGGCATGTGTCCTGACCGGGAATCGAACTGGCGACCTCTTGGTGCAAGGGTCGATGCTCAGCCACTGAGCCACACCGGCTGGACCTTATGACCTTTTTATTGAGATTTAACTAGATACAGGAACTTGCCCAATGTCTTTTTTTTTTTTAGTATGTGCCCCTAGTAGGAACTGAACCCGGGACTCTCTGGTCCGCAGGCTGATGCTCCAACCGCTGAGCCAAGCTGGCCAGGGCAGGAACTTGCCCAATCTTAAGTGCACACCTTAATTTTAAAATAAATGCATGCACACCCAGGTAATCACTGGACAGATCAAGACAGGATGCTCTCATCATTCCCTCGTGCCCTGTCCAGAAATCGTGCTCTGATTTCTATCAGCAGAGACTAGTTTTACCTGTTCAAGGTCCAGTCTACTCTGTGCCTCAGCAGGTGAAACAAGGACAAATGTTACAAAAGGCATGTGTGAGAATGTTCATAGCAGCTTTCTTATGGCCCTGAACTAGAAGGACCCCCAAATATCTCATCACCTAGTGAATGGATAAACAAAGTAGTCTATTCATGCAATGGAACATGGATCAGCAATGAAAAGGAACTGTCTTTGGTCACACACATTAGCATGGAGGAGCCACACAGACAGACATTGGGGATTCATTTCCACGGTGCTCCTGTATCGTATTGTTTGGTCACTGACACATTCGCTCTCAGAGAAGAGGTGTGCCCACTGTCACTGCTGCTGGTGGTGATACGTTGTTGAAGGGCTAGTGCCCTTGGTCTTTGATGTGCAAGGTGCCTCCTATCCCTGCCTCTCAGGTCCCTGCCTGTGAGCCAGGTGGCCTGGGGCTGCAGGGACCCAGGGTCAAGGCCATGGAAGGTGCTCTAGAGGTTAATAGCTGCCAGCAGGCCTGCTACATCCGCAGGAGAGCCTGGCATCCACTGTGAAGGTGGTAACCCCTTGCAAGGGCTGAGGTAAAGACTTACTTTGGGGTCTGGTTACCGCATGTGGCCTCCTTGCTATTTCCCCTGCCCTCCCAATTGCACCCCTACATGTAGCTCACCCTTCATTTTCCCTGGTCAGAGGGGCCTTCCCTGAACATCCCAGCCCCAACCCCTCTAAGCCCTATGGTGTGTCTTCTTTATCCCCACCCCTGCATCTCATGTGATCCACATCAGAATGTGTTCCCAGCACCTCCAGCATGCTCAGTAGGCATAATACTTGAGTGAAAGCGTATATGACCTTGGCCAGGTCACATAACCTCTCTACCTCAGTCTCTTCATCTGCCAGATGAGAGACTAGAACATAGTTCAAGTGTCATGCTGCATGAAGTGGGTGTGAAATGCTCCCTGGAGGGCAGGTCTGGCCCATGGACTCTTAGTCATCCTCAGGAATGTGGCTGTACATGTAGCACCCAATGTGTAGAAGGTTGACTGTGCCAACGGGCTGTAGGCTTGCCCTCTTCCCTGGGGGTGCATGCGTGTCCTCCGGGTGTTTTTTCCTCTGTTTTGGCCTCTCCTGCTCTCCATCATCTCCTCAGTCTAGCCCTTCCCCCATCATGGCTGTTTATCTCCTAAACTCCTCTCAGCTCTATCCAGTGTTTGTCCAGTGCCTTCTGTGTCCCTGCCACCCTCTGGGCCAGCCCCTGTCATTGCTTTCCTGGAACAGTGCATCACCTTCTGCCTGCCTCTTGTCCCTGTAGCCAGAGGGTCTTTTAAAGCCATACACCTATAAAAGCACACACAATTATAACCTGGCTGTCCCTAAAACCCATCGGTGGCCTTGCCCTAAGAATGACAACCAGTCTTCTCATCATGACCTCCAGCCCCGCTCTCACTCCACCCATCTCTGGGCCTGTTCATTCGAGTGCCCTGCTCTGCTGTTTGTTGGCAGCACCCCCATGAGGCATTCAGAGCCCCATATCCTGTAGCGGGCCCTTCAGCTAGCAGACTGGGCTGCAGTTACCCACGAGGGTGCAGGCCAACCTGCTTCCAGCCAGAGGGGATGGCCCATAGGCTAATGGGGTTCCTGCCTCCTCCTTCCACTTACTGGGTTAACATGTTCCCAGGGATTCTGATGCCCAACTCAGGCTGAGAACCAGCAGCCTTCTCTGGTGCTCTCCAGGGTCCCAACAGGGGTTCCCAGCACAGGTAGGGTGTTCCTGAGACACTGAAGTTGTCACAGTATTGGTGGTGAGGTGGCACCAATGGCAGGCACTAGGCTGGGAACCTAGAGGCGTTGTCGTCTTGCCATAGGAGACACACCTGTCCAGTTCCATTTGTCCTATGTCCTGCACAGATTTCAGGTAATACAAATGTTCATCTAGGTGCAAACCTTGTTTGAAATTCCCTGAGCTTAGAACCTTTTTTCATTTTACATGAAACAAGAGTTCCTTTGCACGGCTTTAAAAGTCTCTGAAAATGCCACTTCTCCAGTGCCTGCTTGGATCTCTGCCCCTTTGTTTTCCTTCCTTAATGATCCAGGGTGGCTTCTGGTCTTCCCACTCTGCATGAATCCACATGTAATAGTATACGTTGGTGCAGGTAGTGTCTGAGTATTTCTATAGTTAAATACATGACATATATATATATATTTATTAAACAGCTGCATTGAAGAATCATTTATATGCTAGAAAATTCATCTATTTAAAATGCAGTGATTTTTAGTAAATTTATGGTAAATATTAGCAAACATTATCACACTTCAGTTTTAGAACATTTTCATCATTTCCAAAAGCTCCCTCCTCTCCATTTTCCACCCCTGGGCAACCACTGATCTACTTCCTGCCTGTATTAATTTGTCTTTTTGGAACATGAAACTTCATATTTTGTCATCAGTTGCTTTCTTTTTAGTCTTTATATCATACATACGGCATGATATTAATTTAAAACATGTCTAAGAAATGTACGGATCTCTTTTGGTCTGGGAGAGCTGGTTCAGATATTTGTTAAGGAAAGGGTCCTTTGCGCGTGTTGTGGCTGGAGCACAGCCAGCCAGAGGGAAATGGCTCTATTTGTTACCAACCTTCCACCCAGTCCCTCCCATGTGCCCCCCTCCTTCCTTAGGACCCTCCAAGGCCAAAATGTTCCCCAGTGGCCTGCTGGGTTGGTATCTTTGCTGAGATCACCCAAAATGCAAGAGAGGATTGCCCCACCACGTGTGGTCACACTTCCTGTCCTGCACACTGGCCTCATGAGTAATTTCTGTTCCTTTCTTCTCCCACAGGGACTTCCTTCCCCGAGGTTCAGGAATCGTCACGCGGCGGCCTCTCATTCTGCAGCTCATCTTCTCAAAAACAGGTATGGTGGGATGAATCGAAGCTGTAGCAGGAAGTGAACACGGATGCTGTGTCTGGCAGTAGCCAGGGGGCTTATGATGGAGTCTCTGATGGCTGGGCTGTTGTTTGGGTTTGAATTCACGTTTTCCATGTGTGCAAGGAAGTTGAAGCACAGTTCACTGAACATCCACACCCACCCCAGCACCCTCAGCCATGACCAGGCTGCCAGGTGCCATATGTGCTTGCTGTATTGTAGATAACATGTCTTTACTGAACACTTTCAAAATCAGTAACAGACATTGTGACTCTTCAATCTCAAATGTTTCAGTGCCCCTCCCCTTACAATGGGACATTCTCCTGCAGTCACAGACCACACCCAAGAAAAGTAATCATTCCTGCATGTTATTTAATGTCCAGTCCATACATGTTGTCAGTTGTCCCTCAAATTTCTTCCCTGGCTGATTTAATCAGGCTGCTCTGATCAATCCCATGCTACACTCTATATTGTCATGTTACCTCTTTGCATTAGAACATCATCTCTGCCATTTCTTTTTTAATTGTGACATTGACTTTTGTGAGAGACCTGCAGAAGGAATTTCTTTTTTTGTCTTTTCTCCTTTTATTTGGAATTTCAGTTTCTTTCTTTCTTTTTTTAATCCTCATCCGAGGACATTTTTCCATTTTTTTTTTATTTTTTATCCTCACCCGAGGATATTTTTCCATTGTTTGTACAGATAGAGTGGGAGGGAGAGAGAGGAAGGGAGAGAGAGAGAGAAACATCGACGTGAAGGGACACATCGAGTGGCTGCTACCCACACGACCAACCAGGGCCAGGGACAAACTGCAACCAAAGTACATGCCCTTAGCGGGAACCGAACCCGGGTCTCTCCGGACCGCAGGCCAACGCTCTAACCGCTGAACCAAACTGGCCAGGGCCATTTTTCCATTTTTTGTACAGACAGAGTGGGAGGGAGAGAGAGGAAAACATCGATGTGAAAGGAACACATCGAGTGGCTGCCACCCGCACGACCAACCAGGGCCGGGGACAAACTGCAACCGAGGTACGTGCCCTTAGCGGGAACCGAACCCGGGTCTTTCTGGACCGCAGGCGGACGCTCTAACTGCTGAGCCAAACCGGCCAGGGCAGGAATTTCAGTTTCTTGAATTGAATAAAGAATCTTCCACATTTAGACTTTTTTCTATTCTGTCCTTGGTGGCATCAGTTTATTTCTGTTCTTCCCACAGAAGTCTGACATGACATGGGTATGCCTCTCAGCTTGAAACTCACTTGGGCCTCTTTGGAAGGCATCTCAGTTCAGAATGTGGACAGGAAGAGGGGAGCCATCAGAGGTGGGACCTCTTTTCTCTCTAGAGCCTCTAAGGGTCTCCATGCAGAGCCTCTATGCTACTTCCCTACTGTCCTGGAGTGTCAGCCCTGGACAGTTCAGCACTGAAAAGGTAACATAAATACCCATTTTACAGACAGGGAAACTGAAGCCTAGCCAGGTTACCTGCCTTCCTACAGAGTTCCAGATCTGGAATCTGAGGTTAGACCTCAGACCTCTCAGCTGTGCCCCAGTCCCACCCTGCCCATTTACCATGAGAGGGTGTGATTCCAGTGAGAGGCTGCAACACCTCTTTGTGAGCTCTGCCTTGTCACGGGCCATGGATACGCTGATGGCCTGCCTCCTCTGTCCAATCAGCTGTGCCAGGGTGGGCAGTTGTAGAGCAGCTGGTTTCAGAGTCCACATGGAGCAGAGTCATGGAGGGCTTGGCCTATTGGGTTTCTGCTTCCCATTTTGTAGGTTGTTGGGGTACAGGGGTGATAATCTGTATTTTAATGAGTTTCCAGGGTGGTGCCCATGCTTCTTGCCTGGCCCCTGGCCATACTGGGGAAAACTCTGACGCTGTGGATGGGAGCTGGGAACCAAGACTGCCCAGGTTCAGATTCTGGCTCTGTAGCTTACTGGCTCTCTGGCTTCTGGGGAGGGACTGCTGCTCATAGCCATGTTTCCCGTCTGGACAGTAGAGATAATAATAGCACCCCCTTTGACCAATGTGGTGAAGACCATGTTATTTAATATAGGTACATCCTTAGAACAGTGCTGAGTAGTGCTGACCCAACAGCTGCAGTTTTGTGCTTGCTGCCAGCCTGTTTGGGGACAGCTTGCTGGGAGAACAGGTGGGCTAGCTCCCTGCACTGGAAGATCAGGGCCATGTCATGGTGGAAGGCCTTCCTCAGCACCTCCACAGTGGCTGTCACCCAGCAGTGACACTGAGCATGTACCATGTACCACAGGCTGGTCCAGGGCTGGGGTACCAAGGTGAGCAGGATTAGGACCTGCCACCTGCCCTCCTGGCATTTCCATTAGTGCCAGAAGACAGATAAGGAAGGCTTGGGGGGAGACCGAGAGGGAGACACACAGGCCTGGCCCTTATCAGATGGGAGTCAGATGAGAGGGTGGGGACGTCATGGGACTTTTACAAAGAAGTGATATGTGAGTTGAGGCTGAGAAGTGCTGTGGGTATGTCGGGGAAGGGGGAACTCTCCTTCCCAGCAGAGTATGTGTGAGGACATGAGGCCACATTGCCCAGAGTGGCCTGTTAGAGGAACTGAAATTCCTTCTGCGGGAGGGAGAAGCATATGACGAGCAGTGGCCCCGTGGGAGCACCAAGGGCAGGAATTTGACAGTGCATATCTGCCCAGTGCCTGACCCATATTAACATTGAAATCTTCATTCTTGTCATCCCCACTTCACAGAGGACCAAAGTGAGGCTTCTGAGCTGAAGCCACTTTCCTGAGGTCACAGTGGAGAGTTATCTTGAAAGCCCTGTCTTAAATTCACTCTTTGGGAATGTGGCCTTAGACCAAAGTGTGACTTGACCAGATCCTGTAACTGCTTGTGGAAAAGAGACTACAGGGACCAGCTCAGGTGCAGGGGACTCAGGAGGCGGTGGGAGCAGGTGCCCGAGGATAGGTAGGGACAAGGTGGCAACCGTGAGATAGAGATGTGGTTGGATCCTGTTGGGTTGGGTGTGGGTAGGGGTGGGATAGAGGAGCCCTGGTGTCCCACGTGGGAGTGGCCTTTGCCATGTCCCAGCTTGCATACTTCCTCTCCCCCACCTGACCACAGCATTCCAGACCTTAAAGACCCAAGTAGATGTGTGCCCACTTTGTGCTGAGCATGGTTCAGACACCAGCGAGGCAGTGTGAGTCCTCTGAGAGTCCTGGCCCTCCCTGAGTCCAGCCAGGCTGAGAGGGGAAAGTACAGGGCGTTTGGGAGAGTATATCTGGCATTGGCTCGACTGTGGACCAGAGGCCCAGGGAAAACACTCCAGTCAGGAGCAACAGTGTGTGAAGCTGTGAGGTGAATCTGGAGAGGGGCCAGGAGGCAGGTGGCACAGCCTGGCAAGGATGGTGAGGGATTCAGGCAGTGGGAGCCTGAGTGGCACACAGGGTAGAGTGAGCAGCTCAGCCCACTGGCTGCTTTGAGGAATAAGGACAGGCAGGGACAGTGGTATGGGCCAGGTGGCCTGGGAGAGGTTAGCCTGGCTCAGGGTGAAGGACAGTCTAGAGTGACCTCAAGGTGGGGAGGCCACCAAGACACCAGATAGCAGAGGCCCTGGAGCTGGGGGAGGCAGGTGGGAGGTGGGACACCCCACTAATATGAGGGAGGAAGCTCAATGCAGTGTGGGACAAAGTGATGGCTGGGGCTTCTGGGGTTCTCTACGGGCTACAGGAATTGTGTTGTTCCTGGAGATAGAACTTTTGTCTGGCTGGCTCTCTGGGACATGACTTTGGGCCAGACTGTCACCCTTTGCTATCTGGGGCCTCAGACAAGTAGCTTCCCTCTCTTGTGCCTCAGCGTTCTCATCTGTTATATGGGGTGAGAGCAGTGCCCTTGCACCGCTTGTGGCTGTAGTATGGTCCTGAGACTGGGCCTCATTCCTCCCCTCTGACTCCCAGTGGTGCCCAGCTTCTCCTTGTCCTGTCTCAGTGCGCCATTACTTTTAATCAGCTTAGTTTGCAAATTATCTCAGACCGCAGCCACCAGGAAGTTTGGTGGCTCATGGTGAACCTGCTCCTTGAGAACCACCTCTGGGCCTTGTAAACCCTAGGTGCTGGGGATTGTTCTTGTGTGGAATGTGTATGACTGTGTCTTCCTGAGCCTCCCCTCCTGGCCTTGACCTTGGCTGGGCTCACGGGAGCCAGGGAGGGAATGTCAGGACTTGGTTAACAGACTCCCTCTTGTGCCTTCATGGTTCTGATGGGGCCCTACTGGCCTCTGGGACCTTACCTTCTCTTGGTCACCAGCTGCAGTCTCCCTCCTCATCCTCAAGCTGAGCTTATTTGTTTCTGCCTCCAGGCCTTCATCCTCACTGTGCTCCCTGCCTGGAACACCTTGTACCATCCTCCTCCTCCTGCTCCCCTAGATGAGCCCTACCCCCACCCCACCTTTCAGTCACTGCTGCTGTATTTCCTCTGTGGCCCATGTTGTGTGACATTATCCTGTTCCTTGATTTTCTTGATGGTCTCTCGTTCTGCGCCAGCATCAGTGGCATGAGAGCAGGGATGCTGATCTGCATTGTCCATTGCTTTCCCCCAGGAAAGGGCCTGGCACCCAGTAGGTACCCCATCAGTATCAGCCAGGTGTGTGAGCATGCTCTAAGGGCTGCTCCTGTACCCTTTCTCTTTCGTGGGCAGGATTATCAATGACCGTGCTGCACCTGTCCCCATGAGCCAGGCTCTGGCTGGGCTTTTTTGATAAAGCCTATAGATTCTGCAGCAGTCGGGTGTGTACCTTATGTTTCCATGAGGAAACCAAGCTGGGAGATGGTGAGGGTCAGGCTGGGGACTGCCCAGGATGCCAGCCAGGGCTGTCACCTCCAATGTGTGTTCTTTTCCCATATCACCAAGCAGTTCTCCTGATTTTAAGCAGACACTTATCAGGTGTCCTACAATTTATCTCAGCTCTGATGCTATCTCCCTGGAGATAACTTCAGATCCTCCAGGTTAAGGGC